TGACAACGAAATCCACCAGAAAATCTTCTAATACAGTTCAACCAATCGATTTGGGTATCTTCTGGTGGAGCATATGAATCAGGACACCAATTAGATCCAAATTCAAATTCATTTATTATGATCCAGAATCTTTAGATAATTGAATACATGTGTCACCATATAACGCACAAGGAGTTTTGTCAACTCTGCTAGAAACTGACTGATATTGGACTATTCTTTAATATCATTTGGTAGCTGATTAAATACCTTAGAACCCAGTATATTGGGCAATTTTATACCAATAGGTTAAATGGGGAGTTACTCGAGCGTCATAGGAACCCTATTGGGTCTTGAAGATAATATTGCAGAAAGAAAAAAGGTTAATCCTTTTAGTGGTGGCGGTGGAGGAACGTCTACAAGTTGTCAAAGATGCAAAAAATAGTTCCCTAAAAATTCTAGAAGTCGCCGGTTATTAATATTGTAGGTATGGTAATAAAGGACTACAGCTTAAAAATTATAAATGCCGATTTTTTCGAAAACACTCATAATTAACATATATCTAAGTGTATCTTAATCTTGATTCAATTTGAGCGTAGTAAACTAAATGACGTTCCGAAAGAACTGTTATTAGATTTCTGAGGTCATAAGTTTTGGAGTTAGTTTTTGACACAAGGTACTCACAATGGTCTTCAAAACTTGGGTTACATCATGATACAATCCCAGAAACTTTAGTTTTCTTTCAACGGGTAGGTTTTGTTGCGCCATTTTCATTGAAGTTTAAACACGGTTTTTTATCGTTACTGGATCTCACTAGCGATGATTCATGGCTCATTGAAAGAAGCAATGCATGTAACTTCCAGAAATTGCTATGACTTTCATAATACATAGTTATCAACCCTTAGGTATCAAAAGTGCGGTACATTTTTTAATCATATCCTGTTCTATTTTTGGTTAAAATGATAATGAAGTCATCGAAAGACAATGGCTAAAAGTATGGCCTTTGGATCACAAGCAATTAGCAATATCTTAAGGCATGGATGACCGTAGCTTATCAGTGATCGCAAATAAATTTTGTTTAAGTTTCCATGATTTACTAACGTATTAATAGAAACTAGATTGTCTTCTTTTTTTTTAAACACCGTAATCTGTTTTCTGCTCATTCTGACGCAGTCACTGTTAGTTTTTTGGAAAGCCAAAAGTTTTAATGTTATTTGTCCAGCTATCGCAATAGAACGTAGAGTTCCAGAATACATTTGCATTCTAAGCAGTAGCTGAGAAGCCTATGTAGATTTTGGATTCTGTATGTACTGTGCTGACTGTAAAAGTTAGGATAAAAGCACCCGTGGTTCCTCATTTGCATTCTTTTAATTCACTTATTTGATTTCATTCTTTATTACCTATAATTCGTAGGCTTATTTCAGAAGTTCCTCGTTTCAGTTTGATGATATAAGCCTCTCAAATACTTCGTTGCCTTTCACACTACTCAATCCGTGCTTTAAATACAGTCTGATATTCATTTATATGAAATGAATTAATTGAAACTAAACATTTTAGATTGTGGAAATAAAAGCTGCAACAAAATTTAGTCTTTTGAACCGGATGTCCATATAAAATGTTCTACTTTTACATAAACTGCTCAGTTATCGATACAAAAACAGTATCACTTCCCTCCGCGTACTGAAAATCAAAACGCTGTTCAATCGTACTATAAGCGCCAACTCGCCAAACTTCATAAACCGCACAGTTCAGTGTTCCCCGCGAAACTTCAATCCGCCGAAATAAACAGAGCAACTCCAATCGCGCCACTTCTCTGCCATTCCTTTTCCCTCAAAAACCCACGAAAGAACTTCTCTCGCTACCATTACCGACCATCAGCTCAGTATTTATCCCGAATGAATTTTATCTTTTACGAGCGCTCCAAGTAGCAATATACTTTGATGTTGCTCGTTCAGACGCCGAAAATCGTCTGGTTACGTTGTTCAACGGTATACCGATAGAGGGCAGCACATCGTCGGCCACGCGCCAGACAGAGAGGACAATAGCGTGGAGGGGAGTGCGCTCACACAGACTTTAAGGGATCGTGGAGACGTGTTGCCACGTTTCGTGCGATTGTGCTAGATCTGGGATAATTTGAAAGGAGTAGCGGTAATGTGGTTGACAAAATTTCACAAACCACCATTCTTTTCAAAGATCCCGAAGTATTTTGTGTGTGTATATGGTGTACGTGCAGAGCAGCGGTTTCTCCACAATTTTGTTTAAAGATTTTTTTACTCTTCAAGACGAGTCCTAGCGTTCTGTTGTTGTCAATTACTGCTGTTACTGCAGTCACATCAGAGACATCCGGGAATAAAGACAAAATTCTGCAACTCGTCATGCGAGAGAAAATTAATAGAAAGAAAGGAGCTGGCTGACGAACCTGATGCAGCGGTTCGGTCAAGTAACCGATAAGCAAAGTGTTAATAACCAAAATGATCGCTAATATCCTCTGACTCTCGAGGAGAAGTCTTTCCGATTCCGATAACTCTAATGCTAGGATCCTCGTTTCTGGGTTCTGTAAACCTAAACTCAGTGGCGGATCTAGGATCTCTGGGGTCCAAAGCCTCGTGCGTGGTCCCCTTAGGTGATTTTTTTCGGTGCGGTTGGGGTGGATTGCGTTCTGAAGCATCATGATTTTGGTAATCTAGTTTTTATATACTTTGGGACCCTCATAAACCCTATTCTATAAGGCCTCATTGAGTCTGGGACCCGACGCACTGTGCGTTGTATCCGTCTCTGTCTGAACCTAAACAAACCTGACCTATTGCAGTGAATTGCTGATCTCTTGAATACGGGAATAATCGATGGCAAGTTCCGATCAAAGTACCACTGAGAAGTAGTGATAACACTTGTTGTGGATTAAATATTGGATCCTACCTTTGTATAACTGGAACACCTTCTAATCAAACGATCCATTGGAGCTTCAACGGTAATGTCGAAGATGTTGTACCCACGGAAGTTTTGTCCTAGCAGGCTATGCCAAAAGTGGATCTCACTTATTCACTTAGATTGCTTTTTAGTCCACATCTGCCTCCAGTCACTCTTTTAGAAATCCATAAGACAGACCGCTTTGCTACTGGCCAAAACAGGCTCAGTCTTTTATAAACTGGATGAAAAATCAACTCAGTAACACCGTTAATTTCACAACTTACAATACATCTTAAGGACCGACCTATAACAGTGACCTCTTGCAATGGTCGTCCTACGGTGAGTTTTTTCATCATGAGCCACTACAACAGACGTTAAGGAATGCGTCTAATAACATGACTGTTCCACTGAGATGATCCAACGTTATATCTTATGCTTTTCCAAAACCCTTCTCATTCGCAGCAGTTGAAACTTAGCTCGGAGTATGCTTCAGATTAGGCGCTGAATGTCATCTAAAGAACAATGATCATCGCCTTTAGGTCAGGTGCTGAATTCCATCTAAAGGACAATGAACGTCGCCTGCTAAAGCATCCTCCAGATGGCGCTAAGATTTGATTGATGGGTGCTAGCAAACATATCCACGGAGTCTGGCCTGCCGTAGTTAAATCAACTAGAGATATCCAAATCCACGACATTCTGATTCACCGTTTCTTAAGGTCTGGTTAGAAACCATGAGAACAATCCTGATATGCTCTCCGACCAGGATACGGTATTACAAGAAGAATGCTTAACTTTATCATGCAATTGCAACCTTCATTAACGTCTATGATTCCTGCACTGTTTTCATTATCTATTTTATATTTTACATTTTAGTTACGTGACTGCTAATGATCACCGGATAAAGAGGACACTCTTCACCCATGTACAAAAAAGCTCAAAATAGTTCTCAAGGTAATAATTTGAAGTTAAAGCTCGAATACATGATATCAGATTTTTTCCAGGAAAATGTTACTTGAGAATAATTTGATGATTCAAATTTTTCAATGGATTTGATGAGCTGTGATTGAGTAGTTCAACTACACTGCATATAACACATGCCAGACTGTTATCTATCCGTTTACATTTTTTTATACCGTGTAGGATAATATATAATACTTCTGTTAAAAACTACAAATTTTCGGTTGATGAATCGTTAATGAATTTACATTTCCAAAAACGGTATTTGTAGTAGCTTATCATAATGATTTTGTGATTGAATTAGTACAAGCATACTCTGCTCATAGCACTTCGGAAATATAAGTCATATATTCTTCTCTAAATAATTGAAATATTAAACTATTTGGTATTCCAGGATGAGTCTTGAGACCTTACTGCTACTCTCTCTCATCTAAGCTGGGCTGTTTAAGTGAGAGAAAAAGGTATTGAAAATAACGATCGCAAAAATGAGATTATCGTACCTTTTTGTCAAGTATCCTCCCACTGATTATACCATTATCCCTACAGATTCTTAGCTCGCCTAATTTCAAAATTATGATCTCACGAATGACGGTATGTCCCGTCTCTTAACATTTTCCTTTGATCTAGTACAAAAACAAATCCGTAACGTGGCAACGCTGTAAAGGAGGTTTCATTTTCTTTGCGCAACGCTTGATGTGGGAGCACTGTAACGAATGCTATTGCCATTGGTCCGTTTTATGACCCCTTCCATTATTGTGGATATGCGCGTCTTTATCACTCACTCTTTCTTCCTCGCACGCACGGGCTTAATCAGAAGGCTAAGCAAGCTCTTTTGCAACAAAATTGTTGCAAAAAGGTGCAATTAAGTTCTTGGTTGTACTTTAGGTGTATCCGAGAGTGTATCGAATTGTATATAAAGAAAGACCACTGGTCATAAGAGGGTGCTGAGAGGGTATTGGTGAAAGCAGCGTGAAGAAAGGGGGTGAAAAACCCGGCTAACCCTATCGAATTATCCTCTCAGGGTAGATAATACAGGTAGCAATAGCGGACAGGTAATAATGAGCTGACTATTACCGCCGCGTGCTGTGCGGAGTGGGGGGCAGGCTCGCGTGCTAGAGAGAGAGGGCACGATGCGCTAGAGCGAGACGGCGAATGGGCCGGGATGTCGTGTGGGCCGGATTCTGTCCGGAGCTCTAGTGGGTTACAATCCGCGATCTAACTAGTCGTCAGCGTACATTCCGGGCTAACCAACTGCGCGGTGCTCTTCTCTCGCTGCTGAAAGCTCGCAACGTCGCCGCGAACGGACCCACGCGAGCTTTATTGTTATTATTATTGCTATTACCTCGTAACAATAATCGTTACATCAAGTGGTTCTATATTATGATGAGGTTCTGCGGGTATTTCCCACGTGACATTGCCAGTGCCGCGTGAACTTGTGTACTCAGTGACATTGTGATTGTTGTTTCTTGTGAGCAAAGGACATCCCTCAGTTTTGAGGGATCTGGGACACGCGGTCAAAATTAACGCGGCAATAATGAACTCCTACTTCGAGCAGAGTGGCTTCTACGGAGGCCACCATCACCAAAGCGCCAGTTCGGTGACAGGGGCCCATCACCATGATCACCAAAGTGCGGCTGCAGCAGCTGCGTACAGGTCCTTCCCGCTAAGCCTGGGAATGTCTCCTTACGCTTCCACTCAACATCATCATGCACATTCCTTACACCAAGCCAGACCTCCGCAAGATTCTCCGTACGATGCCTCCGTAGCGGCAGCAGCCTGCAAATTATATTCCTCATCAACAGATTCTCAACAGAATTCCGTCAACTACAGCTCGTCGAACACCAAGTCAGATTGCTCGAAAGGCAACGCAGACCAAAACGGTTATGCTTCAGTGGTAGCTGCAGCAGCTGTGAAAGATGTTTGGCAAAGCGCAGCTTCAGGTGGTGGCGCGAATCTTTCCAACAGTCTCACCGGCCCCGTGCGTCCAGCTGCTTGCACGCCAGACTCTAGAGTAGGCTATGGTTCCTCAGTAGGCTTAGTGGGAGGTGATCCTTCGTCCAGTCCTGGTACCGCTTCCGGAGGAAGAACGGGAAATTCTTTGTCGTCCTGGAACAACCCTTGTTCACTCAACACGACATCATCGCAACCAGTCGGCACCCAGATTCATCAGCAGACCAACCATACCTTCTACCCTTGGATGGCTATAGCAGGTCAGTGTCTAAAATATCATTTCACATGTGAAATCTAAAAAGCTTACGAGACGATGTCGGTGAAAAGATTAAGGCAGTAGTTAGGGATTCTGAAGCTTCAAAAAGTGTTCTGAGAGTATGTTAACTACAAACTGGTGAAGAGTCGTACCTGGCATAAATAAATGAAATCTTCATAAAACACGATTATTGATTTACTAAAAAAAAAATGTAAATCTGACAAACTGCGTAAAGAGCTCAAAAAATGTATCTCTAATTAAGACAAATTCAACGAAAGCTGTAGAGCAGATAAAATATTTCAGGAAAAAAATGACAAAACATATTTGCTTAGTAGAAAAAAATTAGCCCTATTTTTTATTCAAAGGGCATGATCTTAACACCAAATGAGACAAATTGTACTTTGCCTTGACAAAATCTATTCGAAAGAAAGATGAAGTACATATAAATGTTTGAAATAAAATGTGCGACAGCACTAAGTGTTACTGTAGAGAACGCTTTACTATCAAAGAGCGTCAAAAATAGCTAATTGAAAATAACAATTCATTGCCAGTTTCAAACAGTCTGACGGTTACAAAAACAAACTCCATATAATATGTATTTTATCTAGAAGAAAATGTTTTAAGGATCGGCTAGTAAACATATCTTAAAACTAACACAGACTGTATATAAACATAGCGAAGATAATGCTAAGTTAAAGACCATCATTCTATTTTCATACCTGGGAATAATTTCATTTGAAACGCTATTTAACATAGGCATTAGAAATTATAATTCACTACTTTACTGAAGAAGATTGCTTATTAATGTATCAGTTTTTCAGAATACAGTATTATTTACTTTTCCGTGGTTATGGTGGCTATAGTTCTCTACTTGTTGCATAAATTGAATTCTTAAAATATCAGACGTCATCTAAAATTTGGAGTAAGACCGGTGATTTACAACTGCAGAAAGAAATTACGGCAGTCTTGCTCAATTCATCAACATTTTTGCAGCTTTGCGATAACTGTACCGATCATGGTTCTAACTAAAGTTGAAATCCAAACGCCATCGAAAAACTTGGTGCACAACAATTGTTCTATAAGCATTTATAAGAATGGAAAATAAAATGTTTACGTGTTCATGTCATGTTGGGCGCCAACTTCTCCCACTTTTTTTAAACTGGTTGTAATGATCATAACTACAGACGGGTGATATGGTTTTTTTTCTGCCTGGAACGTTATAAAGCTTGAATCAAAGCTAGTGATTTTAAACATGTAATATAAAACATGCATATGTTTTGACGTATCATCTGCAATATGGAGTCCAGTGATTTATATCCAAAAATGTAGGAGTCTGTTGACCATACATTTACTTGGTTTTAATTTTTGCAATCTTTCTGTGGGAGTGAATGCCTCTTTATGATTATTTATATAATTCTATTGCGGTAAAGTCAAAAGTAACAGATTTATGACTACAAACAAATTGAACTTCTAACCTCCAGCACTGTATACTCCAATAACTTTTACCCTGATTTTCAATGATCATTCTTCTTTGTTGTGTCTAATTTTACGACAGTGTTAAAAATCCTGTGGACAAGTGCATGATGTGAAACCATTCCCCTCACAGCACGGGCACGATGGGCGCGAATTTTGTGGGATGTCGGTCCTTTTGTGGCGATCAGCTGTTTGGACAGACAGCGGCCGAGGGCCCATCGGTCGGTGCATAGAGGCAGTGGATACGGGTCCGACGAATGAAGTTACACTCAATCTAACTATAGATACGATCGTAATGCATTCTAAAAACCGACGAATTCTGGGTACCGTTTCTCGTATTTAGAAAATCCCCTGTCTTCATTTCAAATCGTATTTGTCATGATAAAAAATGTTTACTTTCCTGATAGGAGCTGTCCAGGACACTTTTGCAACTGGAGCATTAACCCAACATTTAGGTGTCTCAAGACCTGATTCATGTTTAGATTCCCATTTCAGCACCACCAATATATCAGCATTATTGACGCTCTTAAATGAATCGCCTGCTAAGCGGAAGGTCAGCAAAAATTGCTTTTTTTACCCGAAAGTATATAAAAGTACAGAACGACGTTAGACAAAAATAGAATTTAGCATCTACTTGGAAGCGACACCTAGAAAGCGATGGTAAAATATATATTTATTTCGGTGCAAGATAAGGAGCGAATACGGCAAAAATACACAACTTTTTTGTCAGGATGATATGCTCGCTGAAATGATGTCCTACCTGCCGTTAGTTATTAGATGTTGAATTGGGCGCACCGTGTGCTTTTATATTATATTATTAGATGATTACTTCACCAATAAATTTGTTTATTAAAAGGTATCTTTCAATCATTTTTGTGCTGTTTTTAGATATGCTTCTTCCTCATTTTAAACTTTGGTTCTGTACCAAAATGTTTTAATTGTTCAATTCTCTTTGAATCTGTTGCTTAGAAAAGTGTGCTCGTAATTATTTGATAGACTGATTTTCTTCATAGAATTTTTTCTGATTACATAGGTACTTAAAAAACGTATATGATTATGTGTTACTAATTGCAATATGATTAAAGCGTGTTAAGCGACATCATATTTGCGAAAGAAAGTTTTAATAATGCCTAGTTTTGTCAATTATTATAATATTCAGTCGTATAAAATATAAAAAATGCTTGAGATTCAAGTCGTGTGTAGTGAATAATTGGGAATTATTTTAATCCGATCGAAAAAACCTTGATTGGTAATATGCTTGAGAATATGCCGCTAAGATACGGGGTGCTAAGAAAAGGAATGGTACATAAGTTTTAGTGCCTTTTAGCCTTGCAAAAAATTGTTTTGGATATCTTAAAATATGTAAGCAAATGCTTTCGTGGAATTCAATATAATGAAACCCTTAGTAAGCCTCTATTACTTGTTACAACGTAATATAAGCACCATATACGTTTAAATGGATTTGGTTTTTGGTTGTCGTACCCTTATCCACAGTCGGAGAAAGAGCAGGCCGTTCGGTCCGGGTCGAAGGACCAAGTAGCAGCAGCTTTACGAGCCGGCTCCGGAACGGTAACGAATTATAGCGTTGTGTGTGTCGGGCATAGGGAAATGAGAATCCAATAGGACTTAAATAACCCCTTTTTATTGACGAACGACCTACAGACACGCAGCAGAAAGCGTATTTATTGCGGACCAGCGTCACGGCGCGGTCGACGAGCGACGGATCGCGTTATAGATCAGGCCAAATAGCCAAAAATGTAATTCGACCCTATCCACTAGATATGCAGCAATTGAGCGAGAGATGAGGTGACCCCTGTTGAAATTCGGAGATCTGTACAAAAAACAAAATATTTTACAAAAGTCCTATAGCATTCTGGGACTGAGCTGTTATAAAGTATGCTCCCTGCAGAATCACAACAAATAAGCTAACTTGGACTATTTATGAAGAAGGTTGATAATGACTTTGTCAAAGTCTCATACACACCAAATGATTGATCCAAAGATAGTTGAAATATCAAAGTAGGTAAACAAAAAAAAGGCGGACTAGACAATATTCCCACATATGCCATTTGACCCGAATTGACACACAGCATATATGTTGCATTAGAATAAAGAAAACCTTATCGTGTTTCTAATTTCACACTTGTGCGGGTTTTTCATTTATTTATATCGATCTATCTCGATATACTTCAACAAGAAACAGCTAATGGGATGTAACTAAGCAGAAATGGTATCTGTTGTACACGACATTTTTGAGGGCATCTTAAAACGAAACTAGATTCTGGACGGTAGATGAGAAAGCCTCTCATCGAGAGAAACAACTTGTTTTATTAAACGTCAAAATTCGAAAAATAACTTTTTCATGTACATTTAAAAACTATGAAATGTCGGTATAACAGGTCCTTTAAGGTGTGGTATTATTTAATATTCACCATTATGGACTTTGTGGTAAAAAAATTGCCTATTTTTGCCTCATACCAACAATTCATAGTTTTTTGAATATATGTGAAAAATGTAATTTTCTTATCTTAAACGTTTCATAAATGCAAAGTTCTCTCTTTTCATTTACACTCAAGATTACGATCATCTTGTCAGATCTGCGTACACAGTTTTTCTATCTAGATACCCTGGTCTATAATATCAATATTCCCCTTACTAATTTTTTGAGGTTTTTAAATATTTACAATGGAAAGGGCAGGCTGCGCGTCCGTGATAGTGGAAATGTAGTAAATTATTTAAATGGGGAGAAGAAAGAATTATAGGCTGGTAAGTTGAGTCTTTTTGGAAAATTGCTTTGTTTGAGAAAAGAACGATTCAACAACAAAATAAATGAATGAGTGAATTAACTGTTATAAGAAGTAACTAAAACTCACGTAGCAACGTATTTTTTACTTTGGCCATATTATAGGTATATTTGTTTTTATGATTCTGAGAAGCTACAAAATATCTACTTTACCTTCCAATTAGACCAGACAATAGCATCTTTAATTATTCGTTTCGTTCAAATAAGAAAAAAAAGTATGCAAGTAAGGAGTCTGTATGACATTCAAACCAACAACAGCGTGCAGTATTTTTTGCTCGGTTATTTTAATTTTCCAAAGTTAAGCTGATGTTTATTGTCGTTGAAAGCTTTGTCAAGATACTTGTTTAATATTTTTCAGATCCACGTTAATATTTCTTCCATTACCCAAATAAAAATATCGTTTATTTTGTATATGATTTATAATCAAAGGTGCGATCTAACGAGCAATTTGTAGAAAGTGTCTAGATTGTGGCTAACAAGTTCGGTTTCCAAATCTCATTGCTCTGAATTAATTTTATGTGTGGACTCAAGGTGCATAAACATAGCTTATATCCTTGGCTGCCGTTGAAAATAATGCATGTTTTGAAAACGTTAAGTGTGTTTATTTTCCAACAAAATATTAACAAGTCCCTCGTGAAGCATATCCACAAATACATTTTGTAGTAGGTCAATGGAATATGATTTACATGGATGGTAAAATACTTTATTTCTTAGTGCTTAATGAATCTTCTACGTGTAGTTATACGAGGTCCTCAGATTTGTAATTATTCTGTGAAGTGCTAAAACTTATTAGGAAAAAAATTATCGGTGTTTGTTCAATCCACATTATAAATAGTCGAGAATCAAATAATCAATAAAAAATAAACCTCAGAATATTTTGCTCAAAATTCTTCCCTTCCAATTTGCTGAAAAAGCTTCATACTACAGTATTTTTGAAATATGGTGAATGTCCTACCTGGGCCGTGAAAGGAAATAAAGAAGCCCTTGAGGTTATCATCTCTCGGCAACAGGCGCCCTCTATAAAAGCTCAACAATAGCACCAAACGATAATAGGGGTGCTTAGTTCATAACTGTTCCGCAGGGTGGCGCTTAATTGGTAGTTTCAAGTAGGGGTTCAAAGAATTCAATCCCTACCTGCGTTGAGTGCTTTTTGTAGGGTGGAACACAAAAGAATCTGGGCCAAACAGATTTACACCCTAGTGATTTCTATTGACACGGTTTGTGTATTTATACTACTTGTTTACATAGTTGTAAAGCAATAAAAAATAAAAACGATTAATAAATTTTACTTATTCGTCAGCTGGAATGATTATAATTGTTATTTACAATTTAAGTAAGCATAATCGTAAAATAAAAGTAAATAAGCTTTTCATCGCGTTGCTAATAGCGAATAATGTGGCAATTATGAGAACATAAAGTACTAGGTAATTGGTTCTAGAGGTGTTTTCGCCTACACAACGAACAACTATAACATGATACTGAAGATTTTGGAAACGTTGCATTGGTGTCAGACTACAAAGTATGTTTAAGTGAATATGCTCCTGTTAATATTTCGCAACTCTTGAACTAGATTTTAGAGAAGACTTTACTCCACTTGTTTTGACATAAAAATAATAAGTTTTCTCAGAATCGCACTGAGAAGATGTTTATCTTCTGATGAAAGTCACTCTTAGTCTGTATATGCCAGGACATTGGCGGATCTAGAAAATAGTTTTTGAAAAGTTCCATATCAAGAATTTGAACTTATCCACTCAAAAAGTGTGGGGGGGGGTGCAGGGGCTGAGGATTCATGATCAGAAAGGTGTAAGTCTCGGGGTGGGCGATTGAAAATTGAAGAGTGGGGAGTGTTCGCTTAGAATTCAAAAACAAGCAACATTTTTTCAATCCGGATAGTTCGAGGGGGAGTCCGCACCCACAAGATACCCCCTCCCCTGGATCCGCCCCTAGCCAGTCAGGCCAAGATTTTTATCGTTGAAGTGATGTGAGTTTATGCTTTCCACATCGTAGCCGGGTTTTCTTTGATACATTTTTTCCACACTCTAGTTTCACTGTTATATTGCAAAAAAGCACGATGTCTTATAGCCAAATGACATGCTGTATAATATGATGGTGATCATCAGTCATTTCACTGGTTAGCATATTGCAAAGACGAAACAGGCTTTGTTGAGTGACAAATTACTACTTATATATACAGAGTGTGAAATTTAAGCCAGACTTGTGTCAATATGATACAAATATGTAGGTATCATCCTTGGCCCCGCCTCCTGACATTGTTTTGTATAGAACCAAAAGAGGTCTAATAACTCTCGATGGCCATAACTAAGCAACTAGATTTTTAGTTTCCTATGACAGAAGAAGTAAGTGATGTAGTCGTGAACTTTGATGAACAGAATGTTTTTTCTTCTAAGAAAAATTGAATTCTGGAGTTAGAGTCAAATGATTCTTGAACCCGAGCAATAGGATTTTCATATTCTTCAATGTTCCTATAATCTCATTAATGCTTCCTGCAATTTGATGATAGATAAATTCCAACAGCGCACCTGTATTACGTTTGTATCAGCGTTGTACAACTTGGTTCGACGTTATCGCTATTCCCTCGGTTTCTCGTCGATGCCGATCTTGTGCTTGCCCTCAACTAAAACCACTACAGTTTCGTCTACCTTAGAGCGTTCCATATGTTACTTATAATATACTCTCAAAGTCTTTTAAATTTGTCCTGAACAAGGTAATTGTACTTAAAGGAATTTTCGAGTCTGAATACCTAGTTGTTAACGATTGATTACTAAAATGGATCAGTTCTGGTTCTTCAATTGTTAAGCGTTAATTTGGAGCGTTCACGTCTAGTGGAATACTTCGTATGAGCCAGACAAATAACCATTGAACCCTTCTTTGACGCTTTGGGTTTTCCTGTTGAATATTCTTGTAACGGCATTCGTATCCCGTTAGTAAACGCCACTGGATCCATATTTTCCGAGATGTGACAACTGGACCCCGGAAACTCGTTGGCGTATCATCGTCCGGTGTTGTCTGCATCCCGTTTACCCCTTTACCACCCCTTGTGTCGCCTGTTGGGACTAAGGATGAAATCGGTGAGGCAGGTCGCGGATTTGTGCGCCACGAGCAGGACAGCGCGCACTGTAGACAAAGACGGATGTCGGATTTCGGCTACGGTGCGTCCGTTATTGTACGGAGATATCACGGCTGGAGGAGAGATTCTTTATTTCCGTCAATTGTATAAGCAAAGTGTGTATATAGATCATAGAACATTGAGATCAGATCATTAGCATACATACAAAAAAGCATTGCATATTATATATAAATATGAAAAAAGCAAATAAATACAATGAAGCATCTTTATGACGAAGTTTCATTTTTCCGCCATCGTACATTCTACCCTTTTATGATTTAAACTTTCAATTTTTCTGCCACAATAATATGAACCTATTTTATGCCTGAATCTAAATCTATCCAAGCTGGAGAATTACCATGCCCAGTGACTAACTGGTAAGCCCTAAAGCTTAGGTGCACTCTTCTTTCCCCGTTCTGTGTTACTTTTTTATTATTTGATATTTCATTCTAATTGTATTCTGATTTTCGCTTCGATCTTTTCATCCTATAGGATCACTATCGGAGAAATATCCATATTCAAATTTCTAAAACCGTGACGCTAACCTCTCAAGAAAAATAGACTGTCAGCAATGATAGCAATCATCGATCTAATTTGACTGATCTGTTATCTAGAGTCATATGCTTTCAGAAATCCCTGATTTGGTCGCAGACCGAACTTACTTTTCACGGTTTTTGGTGGTTACGTCACAGTGTCATACGAGTCAATTTTACTAATCGTATCATTTGCGAAGCACAACTTACCTAAGAGAAATTACACACTGCACTAGCCGATCCTTAACGCAGCTACTACTCGCTCTTGTATACACACATGTATTGGGTTATGGAAGACCGTTGTACTTTTATTCACTTTCTAGGCACAATTTGGCAGGCACATTGTCGACGTTGTAGATCTTCCGACATTGCTATGTTCTATATTGAAGATCGACAAAAAATAAATTCAAATGGCAGGCCTTGACAATCAAGTTGTTATACTAACAGTGACAGGCATAAATGTGGAAGAGTCATGTAGAGGTCGATTACATAAATGGATGTGTGAGAGTAATTCCTGTAGTTTTACTATGAACCGCCCAAAACCGTGGAAAGACACATACTCATGTGCATGTACGACTTGATGGAATCTAAAGTATCAACTACATAGATCTTTAACACGAAAATGTGTACAGAACATTTCATATTTTCCAAACGCAAAGAGCTTGTAGAAGTAGGTGGTTTCTAGGCAACCTGTGGTATTTTTTTAGTATTTTCGATTAAATATATATATATATATATACAGGGTGGCACATCGAAAACGAAACAGACGCATTTACTGGCACATCATTTTTTTTTTGAAAAACGCTCATACCCGTCGATTTTGTTTTCGAGGGGGACACAAGTTTGGAAAAAATCACGTTCACAGGTGCAGCCCCCTGGACGGGGGTGACACCAACCCTATATTCTTAAATGGAAAGGGCGGTCGAGTGATACCTTATATTAAGGTCTTTCAATTCCCTTTATAATGATGTAAAATACATGAGCTTCAGTTCAGTAGTTTTGAGAATTTATCGATTTAAAGCTTAAAGTAGACTTTAATAGGTACATCAGACTAGTTTGTACTACTTTCAGAAGAAATTTGACTAAAAGAATTTACTTAATAAGTAAATGCTTTTCTCCACTACGCCCATGGTTTATCATTTTGTTGTTGAAAATAGCTATTAGAGCGTTTTTTTGTGGCAAAAAAGTTATTTCTTGAAGAAAGATAAGGAAATATCTCGTACTTATTTTAAATAGGAATTTATTACATAGTTTGCGATTGATTTGACCAAACTTTGTTGCTAAAATAACTTGTAACGCTTTATTACATAAATTAACCATGGCATATTCCACAGCACAAAGAGTTGAGATTATCGAAATATTTTTCGGAAATAATCAGTGCGCTAATAGAACAGCAGAAATATTTAATGAGCGACATGAGAACAGTAACGTGCATCGAAAATATGTTCTAGAACTTGTAGCTAAATTTCGGGAAACTGGGTCAGTCGCCAATAAAAAACGCAACCTTGAAAATTCCATAAGGAACGAGGCAATAGAAGTGGGGGTTTTAGGGCAAGTTTATGTAGATCCTACGTTAAGTACCCGCAAATTGGAGACTGTGTGTGGTGTTAGTTGACGTACTGTCCAACGGATTCTAAAGGCCCATAGTTTTCATCCGTATAAAATTCACCTGGTACAAGAACTTAATGAAGACGATTTTGATCGGCGATTACAATTTTGTGAAGATAATGAGTGAACGAATTATAAACGATGGACATTTTCTATTCAACACTTGCTTTTCCGACGAATTTTTCTTAAATGGCGTAGTAAATCGTCATAACTGCCGATATTGGTCCGATTCTAATATCAGAATTTATCATGAGGTTCATACAGAGCAGCCACAAAAATTAAATGTTTGGGCTGGTATTTTTGGCGATCATTTAGTTGGTCCTTTTTCTTACCTGAAAATTTAACCGGTGAAATGTATTTGGAATTATTGGAAGGCATTAACAGCCATGATTGAAAATCAGAATGATCGGCGGTACATTGCGAGTAGGTTAATGTTCCAACAGGATGGTGCCCCACCACATTACGTGTTCGACAATATTTGGATCAGACGTTTCCATATCGATTGAGTGGCCCCCAAGATCGCCAGATTTATCACCTTTGGATTTCTTTATGTGGGGTCATTTAAGAAGCAAAATATATGCTACTGAGCCAACATCATTAGAAGACCTGCGACAAAGAATTGTGAATGAGTGCTTTCAAATATTTCAAAATGTGCGGCAACGTTTTGAGCAAAATCTTTATTATTGCATGGAAAGTCATGGTGGCCATTTTCAACATTTACTTGCCTAACGGGTCAGTTCATTCTTCATTTTTAAATTACTTTGCTGCCAAATGTATTGATCTCCACTAATGATGATGTATTAGTTTTATTTAATCTTTAATTCAATAAATCTTCAAAACTACTAAACTGAAGTACATTAATTTTATATCACTATAAAGGGAATTGAAAGACCTTTAAAATAAGGTATCGCTCGACCCCCCTTTCCATTTAAGATTTTGGGGGTGGTGTCACCCCCGCTTAGGTGATTTTTTGCCAAACTTGTGTCCTCCTCGAAAACAAAATCGACGGGTCTGAGCGTTTTCCAAAAAAAAAAAAACTGCTGCCAGTAAATACATCTGTTTCGTTTTCGATGCGTCACCTTGTATATATCGACTCGTAAGGATTCACCACACTAGTTCCATAACTTTTCTATTTGTTGCTATTGCGTGGAAGCATGGAATTAATTCGGTGAACGCACCTTTCTATTGATCCTTAATTTGAAGCCTAATCCTTGTAATGAAAACAAGAACACAAAAATTCTTCCATAAGAGCTTTTTTAATACTATAAAACTGTGCAGTTCTGTTTTGACTTGTTCACTTGCTACCTAAATATCGTGATTATATTTTTCTAAAGTTGATTCATCACGGCGTACGACACTACAGTGCAAACTAGCCATCTATTTTTAGTCACGCATGTTTAAATATAAATGATCGCATATTTTATTAAATCAGTCTGGCAACGTACCATATAACTTCCAAATATCTTTTTACAATTTACGATTGTACAGCAGTTATTTCGATCCCGTATTTCAATAGAGCTGGGCCGATAATGATCCATATAGAAGGAACGAGACTCTCAACTTTAATGTGATACTAGATATAGGAATCTTTCTTCATACTTGAAATTATCAGCCCAGGAATATTAGGTTATCTGTAAAAAACGCAATTGCTGTTATTTGTAGCAGAAAAAAAATCTAATATTACTAGGCTATTCCAACTCAATATCCCAAACGTCTGCGGCCACACTTTTTAGGATAAATGTTGTTCGGATATAGCTATAACTCGAGATCATTGCCCAAGGGAAATAAATATACAGTAATTTTCAAAACGTATACAACTTATTTTTCAAATATATCAAGTTGTCATACTGAAATTTGTGGTGATGAAATGGTTCCATGGATACTAAAATAATACTAATTTAAACAAATTGGTATTCCCACTTTTACGCTATAGTATTCTTGCACTATCATCCCGAATTGCCGTTCCATAACTTGGCCCGTTCCAAAACTTAATTGGGGTGCTTTTTTGAAACGCAGGAATTCTGCGAAAATCTCGTCACGAATAAGAATCCTGTCTCTTAAAAAGGTTATAGTTCTTAAACTAGTTCTTAGTTGATGAAGTCGATTGGTAAACGAAAGTCATTGTGTTCCACTACTACGAACTCTAGGTACTCGCAGCTATACGCATGTCCGTCTTGCAAGCACAGTCCAACCAAGCATCGAGAAGAAGAAGAGACGAGAGACCACCGTGGCTGAGAATCGCGCACAATCTTCATTCAAGTCCTGAGTATTATGCTATAAAGGCGGGGTAATGGCTTTGTTATGATACCCGTTCCATTACGACCTGTTATTTTATTATTCCACTTCTGAGTCCCGCGCCATGACGCACTGCACGCCGATCGCCGCACGTCAATGGCTAATTTTATTAAGTGCTATATGCCCACCGGTGTTTGTTCGCGCGAAATCGGTCAATAAAAGAACCATTTTCCGTAATTATCCGGTGCGCCTACTGTGGAAATGTTGTATATCAAACCTGTAAGCGCCGGCAGGGTTGTAAACGAAGGGATTTATGGATCTTGGGGAATAAGTGGCTTACCTTATTTACGTACACTCACCTGCGATATCCTTGTTTGTATTTTCAGTGCTGCCCAAAAAATGTTCTCAGTTCAATTTGCAAGATTTTCAGTCAATGGTTACAAGTGACACGCAGAAAATCGAATCCTTCCTTTTACAAAATATAATAATAATAATAATAAGTTTAGGGCCGATTTCACCAACATTAATATTATGGACCAATGGGTAAATACCTTATCGAAATGGAATTTGATGGAAGCTGTCAAAGCTCTCAGAATATCAGTGATTTCTATTGAAATATTGAATAAAATCGTGAAAATTCGACTGAATTATAAACAAGATCACTTTTTGATTCCAACAGGATGCTTTTGTACACAAAAAACAGGGCAACTTTCATGTATTTTTATATATAGGTTTATATTTTACAATCCGTTATCCCCCTCAGCTATTGCGAATGCGGTAAATAATAGGTCAATTTTCTAGCTATTAAATTTGGCAGCAGACTTGGACGCTTGTTAATGCATGGCACTCTCGAATTTACCAACTTCAATATACTGAAAGTTATCATTACATACCTGTTGAATAGTGTGGATTTGTCTGTATTTTGCAAGAAAATAGAATATAAAATACATTCTATCCAATTCCTCATCTTCCTTTACGTCATAATAGTAATCATTTATTAATTTATGGGTTAATGAATTTCTTCAAAGCAATAAAAACATTATGTCTTCTCCATCCTAAAACACAGATAATATGTGTAAGACGTGTCAATCCCTACATCTCCCTGATGCATAATGCAATTCCTATGGACATAGACAAAAAATTATGAAAAATGTTTCACAAATACTGTCCTTTTAACTCCAAAAATCATCAAAACTAGTAATGTTTATTGTTTGTGTTTTCGACTGGCGGTCGTTGACTGGCGGGGATATCTATCTGTCACTCGAGGGTTGCCAAGTCTAACGACGTGGTGGAGGGTGCGAAATGAATCTTTTGCATTTGCTAGTTTTGCATTTGTTTCGTGAAAATTTACTAGGTATCATGATTCTAAGCATCTTTGGTAGATTGTTCGATCCGGAATGGGAAAGATCTCCTATTTATGAAAATATTTTTGGTATCATCTAACCGTTGCAATCAGTGCAGAAACACTGACATATGATTTATAGCATAACCCGCTGCCCTATCAATACAAATTTAACATACAGGTCGCCTAGCCGTGGGGATGCAGTGGTCGGGATGAATATCACGGCAGCAACTGATGATTTGGGCATGTCTGGTAAGAACGTATGAAGTGAAACTCGCAAAGACCTACGTTTTTTAGTTGTGTGTCTCCGTCTCGAAAACTTTGTCGTTACGTATGGGCGCCTATCAATCATATTTGTCAGGGTGAAAACTTACTTGACATCGGCGTGCAATTCGAGTTGACGTGTTATTTATCAGCATAATCTAGGGTTGGTCTCTCGTCTCTGGGACATCGATCAAAGGCATACCACTATCAAAAGTGTGTGCTCTGTCGAAAAGAGAGTGAAGCGCCATCTGTCACTAGATTAGACCACTGCGAACACACAGATTTGATATATAATTGCTATGCTTTTGATCGTTGTAGCAGAGACGACAGACCAAGACCAGATCATGCTGATGAGTAGTCAAAATGCACGAAATAGCTATCGAGGGTTGACCGTCTTTGGTCCGAAGGATGACAGCAGCATGTTTGGTTTGTTCAATGGCAACCACATCTACTGCCGCTAGAATAGTCGCCATCTAGTGGTCACGTGGTGACTAGGCCTCCAATGCGGACTGAAACCTTTGAAGTTCCAAAATGTAGCTGCTATTCGCTGCTCGTGGTGGACGATTCTAGTGGTGCATGGAGCTTAACGCTGTCTTATTTTGATAAATTATATAATCTCAAATAGACTCAAGCTATTCCTACAAAAAATCATATTCTTCCTGTGACGGGGACACTATTAAGAGATTTCCCACATGATAACGACTAGCAAGAGACGTAAACCATGTATAAGAGCTACCACAGCTGTAGTTAATGGAGATACGTCGCACTTTATGGGAAATACCCCAGGGCATACTATGTACATACACCGCCTCTTCGAAGTTCTTGGTTATAAGGTATACGCAAAGATACACGGGTATGATGAAATTTCTACAACGAAACGGAAGTTAATCGGAAAAACTTTTGGATTACAACTTTACAGAGCGGAAATTAGCACAAAAAGGTATTTGGTAAATCTTGTTGAATATCAAAAAGTAACAGTCCTTAGTTCTAATGCACTAATCTAGAAAAAATGCCAGTTTTTCATAGAAAGATAATGTACCAAATGCTACAGGTTCTAATAAAGACATGTAGAGACTTTTTCAGATCAAGGCCGGGTCGAAGCTGAAGAAGCAATAAAATGTGACGAAAAGCGTAAACACTGAATGAATCAACTTTAACACAAACATTGCATTTGTTGTGTCTGGCCCCGGGTTGTGGTCCATTTGCAACTCTTTCTTACAGTCTGTCACAAGTGGTTGAACCTTGCTAATTTCTTCATGATCAGTTTTCTTTTTCCGTATTTAGAAATGAGTCGTTCAAGGTCTTTCGCTTTCTGAAATTTCGTTTTTTCTTTATCGATATTGGGTTTGCGATATATGCGCTGTCTTTGAAAGCAGCTATTCAATACATGGTATAAATGTCCATACAAATACCATTTTTCAAAACCTTTCATACAGTTCTATACACGGCATGTTTACGAGACCATTTAAAAACTGTAAATTGTAATGTAAGCAATACAATAAAATCAGCTATCCAGTTGTAAATATACTAGCCATAAAGTAGACGAAACGTTACAGTAGACATAGCAACATGAATTTATGGGGTATCAGATTTAGTAGGTCATCAAACATGATATACGTTAGAGAGTTTCAGATTACAATCCGCCAATTTTGTTCTGCGTATGTGAAACGTACACTTGTAATTATTCTGCTTAGTCATATTAGAAGAAAATACTCCTAGCTTGCAAAATAATTGTTAAGTCTGGGTAAAAGATGGGGTTCTAGAACTTCGTGGATATAACGCTGCGCGTTCCTGTTACCTCTGATGAAGATTAAAGGTGACCTGGAACCATAAGCTATAGCACCCCAAACCATAACTCCAACAGTGTGATGAACATGTCTTTCAGCAAAAAACTGTGGATTCCTCCTTTCACCACGTCGCCTTCTAACCCTGGCACGACCATCGTGCATGCCTAAGCAAAATCGAGACTCGTCACTAAAGACAATACTGTTCCATTCCTGATCCCAGAGTGACCGTTGTCTGCACCACTCAAGGCGATTACGTCGGTGTTCTCGAGTTAAAGGGACGACCCAGTGTGGCCGGTATGAAAACAAGCCAAAACTTCTCATTCATCGGTAAATACTTCGCATGCCAATAGGTCTTCCGTGTTCTGCAAACCATTCATTTGCAATGGACCTGGTAGTGGAGAAACCATCCCTTAAGGCCAATAATCTTAGGCGGCGACCTTCACGGTCTGTTGTTCTACGGCGGCGTCCAGTGCCCCTTGCTCTTTGCGTACGGCCTTCTCGAAGCCATGCCTGACAACACCTAACCACAGTGTCTACACTTCTTTGCACTCTAACTGCAATTTCCCGAAAAGAAAGTCCAGCTTCCCGAAGTCCCACTATACGGCCCCTATCAAACTCACTAATCCCGAAATCGTACAGGTCTCTGTACTCTAGGCATCGTAACCGATCGTAAAGGATGTCAAGATCCAAAATCAGCCATCGTTGATTCTTTACTGCGGCTGAGATATTCATCTTTAGAGCGTTAGTGAATTAAAAAAAAGCAGTATAAAAACCGGAATGTCCAACTGATAAGGCTGAAAATTTTTTCACTTGTTATTTACAGTAAGATAAATACATTCACCAACTTTTATTAAAATAAAACCATTTAAACTGGGTGTTCGGATTTATATGTCACTTAGCATATATTCGCTGGATCTTTTTACATGTGGTCTCATTTTGTAGGTCTCATAACTGCCTAAAGATCTTATATAACTAGTTTTTTCGTTCCTGCCTAGATTTTCGATTGAATCGCAAAAAACCTGTTTTCATATTCATTGTTATCAAATAAAAAGTTTTCCCGTAAAAATATGTGTACCCATTTTATGCGTCCATGTTTTAAATACCCCCTTGAACAACTTGCACCAACAAAAACCAGACTTTACAATTATTTCGGGGAAATTTGCTAACATGATTAGACTAGCTCGTACACATAATGTGTAAAGGAAGCAAATCAGGAAAAACATTATTTTCTTTCTTGATCCACACTAAGCAATGCGTTGAAGTTATAATACTAATAATAATCGTCTTCATTCATAATGATTACAGTATGAAAGGGCGAAGTTTAACTCAAGCAGCTGTTCTTCCACTTGACACAAATCGATTATCGTAAGCGATAAAGCTGGTCGTCGTCAAAAAGAATTAGGAATTTTTTTGAGAATATACTTTCTTACAATTAATCATACTAATATTATCGTTCTTTTTTAGGTAAGAGGACTTTGGAAATCCATAAGAATCCATATTATTTAAGTAAGTATTTTTTTCACAGTATGAGCATTTTATGTTTTAGTTTCTCCATTATCAATTTTTTACTCAGCATCAAACGCCATTGACCAAGTCGATGTTGCCAAAATGTGCGAAGCTGGCTTCATGTAAATGGTTGAAACAAAATTATAAGGATTATTCA